ACCCTTCCTGTTGGCCAATTCTGGACGCTTCTGGTCGATCGCCTGCTTCAAGCGGTCCAGTTGTTCGCAGTAGATGGTAGAATTAAGCGTCTGGCCATATGGGAGCAGCTCATAGTGGATGATTCCCTTCCAATCCCACCAAACACACAGCAAAACCTTCCTGGCCGTCAATCCCGGCTTAGCCACTTTTTGGGACGATTCACCGGCCTTCGACCACGACCGTTTTCGCTTGATATTGTCGAATGTAATCCATTTATATTATCTGGCTTATTCCTTTTTCGTCGGTGATATTTATGGTTATATCGTTGGTGATGAGCATTCCCTCTTCGATTATGGTGACCGGTTCTAAGTGTCCAGGCTGGGTGTTGCAATGGGCAACCATACCAGAGATAAGTTGCTGTGCGCAGGTTGGCGCTTTTGATCTCCTGCAAAAGGTGGTGCCCTCTGATACATTACAGTTCTTGACGGCGAAGGTTTCCGCTCCGCAATCCGCGACCATGCTACCGTCCTCGAAATCTAAGATTTTATTTTCATGTTGTACATGATTTCTTATCTTATCTTATCTTAAATTCATCTATTCATCATCTTATTTTTCTAAAAGTTGTCCTTATGGACCACCCTCCCTTTAATAAGCACTGTTGTGCCCAGATCAGCCTCAATGACCTCTTCTGAGCAGAGTGGCGTTAATTTGGTACCCAGGCATCTGTTGGTTTTTAACCAGCCTTTTTCGCCTACTTGGTACTGCTTATTGCCTTTGTCTGCATTCGAGTACCCAAGTGTTTTCCCTTGCGCCTCTTTGATCTTGTCTCTTATTGTGCCCGCAAGATCTGGTGGCATAGCGTTAACTATTTCGTGAGGCTTTTTATTTGTAACAGAATGGACAGTTCTGTTATATTCTATTGTTTCAAATAGAATAAGGTCGGTCGCAACAATTATATTTTGGTCTATCTTGATGCACCGTGCGATTTCCGCTAGGGTGCTATGAAATCTCTCAACTTGGACATTAGATGTGCTGTGCAACGGGGTCGCATTTGAGACCTGTATACCATACCTACTTTCTAGGATGGTTCGTATGGTTTGTGATTTGATAGACCTTTCATTGTCGCAGTAAACTGTTTTTATTTTGGGGAACAGATTTATTAGTTGTAGTATAGGAGTATTGATATCTACGGACTACAGCGAATTTTGAAAACTTGTCGATACAAGTTAGAAAATGCTTTTGATCAGTTGAAAATATATCTATATGGATAATTTCCCCAGTATAACCGGGAATTGGAGTTTCCGCTATGGTTTGTTGTACTGGGTGACGATTGTATTTTGCTTTGGAACACGTTCTGCAATTTGCGGTGATTTCTGCCGCTAGCTGGCCCATTTTTGGAAAAAAAGTAGTTACGAAGGACCTGTTTTACATTTTCCTGTCCTGCTCTATAGGCTCTATTGTGTTCCGTGGTCATAATTTCCCTTTGTTCGGTACTGTTTGTTATATCGATGACCAAGCTCTTACAATGTCTAAATTTCTTCGAGGGAAAGCGACGATTAAATCGTGCTGAATGAAGGCGAGTATAGGTAGCTCGCAGTGGATTGCATTGACGACATCTATTTTTACGAAGCAATGTTGTGCGGTTTGTAAATCGCACAATGTGACGCGTTTTTGATTTAAAAAGGATGATTGACTTTATAGACGGGAAATCCGCCTGTTCGATCCCTATTTGGTTCCTAAAACAGTTTACAGGTTTTTCTGTTGACTCTACAGTGTAGGTCAACGACTCCTCGCTGTGGATAGTAGCGATGTAGTGTGTCTCATTATCTAAAGCATTTACGTTTTGTCGCGACAAGGCGTCGGCTACGTGGTTTTCTTTTCCTGGCTTGCAGAACATTTGTGCGTTATGTTCATCAACAAACGCTTTCCACCTTTTGAGCCTGGGACTCGGATTTTTATTGAACCGGTCACTGTTTGATGGTCGGTGAATATGTTTAACTTCTTTACGCCATATAAATAGTTTCTGAGATTTTGAAGTGCCCATACTATTGCTAGTAGTTCTCGTTCATTTGTTGCCATTGAAATCTCGGTTTCGCGTAACGTGCGAGAAATTATGGTGATCGGACGACCTTTCTGTGAAAGAACAGCCCCTAGGCCGCTTCCAGAGGCGTCAGTGGTCAAGTCAAATGGCTGAGTGAAATCTGGGTATGCCAACATGACATCCTCAGACTCTAGGATGTTTCTTAGTTTTTCGAATGATTTTCGCTGCTCGTTGGTCAGTTCCAGTTTGACTTTCTTTTAGTGGTTTGCACCAATTTTTCCGTTGTCACCTTTTAAAATACTCGTCAGAGGTCTTGCGATGCTAGCAAACCCCTTTATGAAACATCTATAATAACTGGCCAATCCCAAAAATGACCTGAGGCTGAACAATGTGGATGGAGGTTGAAACTTTTTTATAGCCTTAACCTTCTCAGTTTTAATTCCTCCTCGGGAATTCCCAAATATTCTACGTTCTCTTTAAAGAACTTCGATTTTTCAACTGACACTCTCATGCCTGCATCGCACAGTGTTTAGAACCGTGCTTATATCGTTGACATGACTCTCCATTGTTTGGGAGAAAATGATTGTGAAAATAGAATTCACTTGCTTGTGTGAGTGAAAACAGTAAGCAAAAAAGTGTGCATGTGTGCTAGTTGTGCTAGAAGACGATTTTCGGTCCGAAATCAATTTTGATCTAAGAAACGAATTTGATTATTGTTTTGGTCAATTTCGTCAATTGATCTAATGAAATATTATTTAAAAATTGTTGCCGTGATTATTATTTTTTTTAAGAAGTTCGTTAGTTAAAATCGGCGCTCGAATTACCTACCGCTTACATACATTACATATTAATTTTACATATAAACTTTTATTGAATAAAAATGCGGTTATATTATTAAAATTTGGAAAAATAGTAGCAAACGATGAGCTCTATCTTTTTGTCAGCTTTAAACAAACGGATTAGGAGGAACTAAAAAAAGAAACAATAAATTTAACGCGCCTTTTTATACACCCGCAAGATTGCGATGTTTTTAAAAATATCAAATTAGAATATAACAAAAACATGCAACAAAATAATATTTGCACTTCAAATACTGAAAATTGATCATTTACATAAGCATGCTTATTTTTTTTTACTTGTATATTAGTAATTTGTACTAATAAATATACCAAATAGTTTAAAAACTGAATATGCAACCTGTTTATTGCATAAAATTGAATTCTTAAGGCAGAACCTGCGCGCACCTAAGAATCACTAACTTCAAATTTTTCTTCCACGTCGCGACTGAAACCTCTAACGACATATTTTCTAGTATAAAGTAATCTATGAAATAAATTAGGTATTATTTAATTAATTTATTATTAATTTGTACTAATAAATATACCAAATAGTTTAAAAACTTAATATGCAACCTGTTTATTGCATAAAGTTGAATTCTTAAGGCAGGACCTGCGCGCACCTAAGAATCACTAACTTCAAATTTTTCTTCCACCTCGCGACTGAATACTCTAACGACATATTTTCTAGTATAAAGTAATCTATGAAATGAATTAGGTATTATTATGTACATTTATTCATCTATTATATTATGATTTATTTAAATAATTATCATGTTAAAGCAATGCAAAATCAGAGTTTTTTACTTGGTGGCAATCTAATACAAATAATATAGATTGAAAAGCCATAAGCTTCTGAAGTGAAGGGCATATTTTGTCAATTTTACAATTTATGAGCATACGTGTGCACACATACAGTGATCGGCTGTTTCTGTATGTGTACAAGAGAGCTGCTGGCTCTAGAGCACTCTCTCTGGCTCTTGAACAAAAATTCGAGAGAGCCTGGAGCCACTCTAGAGCCAGCACGAAAAAACCGTGTGCAAAAAAATCGTATGGCGTTACGCATCTTATTATTCTAGGGTCTTTGGTTTTACTATAGTATTCTATTACTAGGGGTTTGTTATGAATTTTCTGCAATAAGATTGCACCGTATCCACTGTAACTTGCATCTGTATGTAGCTCAATTGGATAGATTGGGTCAAAAATAACAAGGACTGGTTTATCAGTAAGGGTAAAAATAACCATAACCATCTTCCATATTCTTCATGTTCTGTTTTCCAAATAAATTTATTTTTCTCTGAAGTTAAAAAAGATAACGGTTGCATCAACTGAGAAAATCCCATAATAAATTGTCGGAAATATGGTGCCAATCCGATAAATTGCCTTATTGCTGTAACAGACTGGAGGTGAAAGGGCAATCGATGCTACAATTTTCTGAAAGTTTGGACGAATTTCTTCAGCACTAACACAGAAACCTAAATATTGAACTGATGTTTTCAGGAAAGAACACTTTGTAGTTTTGAATGAAAACCCAGTCTCTGTCAAAATATTTAAAACAATCTCTAATCTTTCTAAAGCCTCACATTGTTTTTCAGCAGTTATTATAATATCATCCATATAGACAATGACATATGAATTGGCTAGATCACCGAGCGCCTGTATTACTAAGCGTTGAAAAGCAGAGAGCGCATTTTTAAGCCCGAATGGCATTGACATAAACTCATATTGGCCATCTGGCGTCACAAATGCTGTATACTCAATGGATTCAGAATTTAATGGATTTTGATAGTATCCGCTGGCCATATCTAACCATGTGAAATAATTAACCCCCCGAAGTTTATTTATTTGGTCTTGTATAAGTGGTAACAGGTACTTAGCGGCGATTGTGTTTGAACTAAGCTCTCTATAGTCAACACAAAGTCTATCAAAACCGCTGTTTTTTTTTAGCTGTTTATTATATTACATTTCAACAGCTCATGGACTTAATAACTTAGAACAGTGTTTCATGGATCGATTTATTTAATTTTAATTTCGCCAACTTTAAATTTAGTATATGGAATATATTTTATAAAACAATTAGAGTACTTTGACAACAATGAATTAGTTTTATTTTATCTTGTCCTTCAAGTACGGTATCAATAAAGGCAGGCTCGCTACCAGTACATAATTTTATTATTTTGGATGGAAACCCTGATTAAATATTTCGCGGCCAATAACAATATCGTTTTGCATGTGATCATCGCCAATTACATAGAACAAAATCGGGATACAGTGCTCATCAATTTTAACGTTATATTCATATAGTTTTTCTTTCTACCCAAGGTAATTTAATAATCCTGGTGTTTTTCTCTTTTTCTATATTCTATTAATATACTTATACGTATATAACAAAATATATTGTTAGTTTTAAAGATGACTTTCTCTTCATATATATCCCTCCAAATATATACATACTGTATATTAAATACAGTAACTACAAAATAACGTACCCTGCAATTCCTTGCTCACATAGGGGAGTATTAAAAACGCGCCGACTTCCGTACTTATCCCGTAGATTAACTGAACACCTGTTGAATGCAAACATAATAAAAATCATATGGTCTATTTAAAATGTTTTACTGACCGAAAAACTCCACCGAACCCCACATCCTCGCCAAACAACAACGCCGATTTGTCTTCCTCTAGCGCCAAATCCATTGCATTATTTATGGCGTTAAACATATTCATTCGTTTTCCAGTTCCCAAACATGTAGGGTAGTAGGTAAAATATGATCGAATCCACAAGGAGCACCTTATATTGGACCGAATATAATTATGCAAGCTATGAGCACTTATAATGTTCATTTTCTTTGATATATATACAATAACACAGAATAGAAAACGCTATAGAATACAATTACGTAACACTTGTTATGACCGCTACTAAAATAAAATGAATTTTGGCCTAATAAATTATTTTAATACCATTTTCATGCAATTAGACATTTTACATGTTTTTAATGTTATTTGGGGTATTCACAATACAGCTGCAACAAGCCGCCTTAAATAGCGGCAGCAAGCAAATGGTTGCGACCCGTTTATACAAGGCACCGGTGTTTTAAGAAAAGCTGATCGATCGAGCTCGAAACCAAAATGGATAACAGAAATACCGCTCTTTATGAAAAGGAAAAACAGTAAATTATAAAAAAACTTTATTCTTTGTGAGCGATCACCTAATAAATTATTATTATTTATTGTATGTTGGCAATACAATAAACTAAATGAAGTTTTTGTTAGTTTGCTGCTTGGGGTTTTGACAGAAATGCCAAAATTCACATCACCTATAAAAGAGTACACCTATCTAATAAGCTAGTTTTGTATATAAGTATTTTTACTTCTAATATAAAAAATCTAAACTATTGAGAAATTCGAAAAAATCCAATTGCAGTTTCTTGTTTCCACAATTACATATTACAGAGAAAGAGACAGACATGGCCAGATGAACTCTGGTAGTCATCCCGATCAAAAATATAGAAGTTAAGTAAGTTAACCGGACCAATCGTGCGCTCACCAGCACCGGTCAAACTGCTGACCTAGCATTTGGCCGGAAGCTCGCACATAGCCGGCAAAAGCTCTACACATTGGCAGAAGCCGCTATGTCAGTTCGTTTTGGATTATCCAATAATACAGAGCACAAGCTCATAAAACTTACTCCGGCATCTGTCGTTATCATTATAAGCTACCATAGCTATCTGTCATCTATCAGTCATCTTCCCAACATAATCATCATAAATCTTCAAGTGAATTCACTACCCCCCGCCTCCGCACAAGGGACACCTGGAGATCATCGGCCAACCGGCAATATACCACTGACTGCAGCGAGGGATCCCCCCTGCACACTACTTATATTGATTTACGTATGTATATTATATACTTTTTATAATCGGAATCGTTTTCCTTTTACAAACTTGTCAGCGATTTTGTCAGCGAATACAAAAAAAAGGCTAAGCGCACAAACCGCCCAAAACTGCCAACACTTTTTATATAAGGTTTGGAATTTTTTGGTTATAATTTTTATTTTGCCAATTTTTATCTGTATACCGTAGTGTTCTCTCTTGTTCGTATATACCCTGGTAGAAGATATGCTAATAATATATATGATCAAGATGAGTGATATTGTCAATGCACAGTATTCTGTGATATATATTATGTATGTGATTTTATTTATTATCTTTATGAGCTAAACTGCGTCCGATTTAGACAGTTGTGAGTTTCCATTTGTGCCACTAAGTCTGTGATATTGTAAATGGGCTTTGACGTGCTAAATGAGCTGACACTGCGTGTAGCCTTAGGAGAGAGAGTCGAAAGTCGACACCGGAGTTGAAAGTACGTATTTTTTTCAACTCTACACGAAGTGTTTAAATATATCATGGACAGCGTTGCTTGTACAAGGGTGAATATAAATTAAAAACACGAATATTTTTGATTATAAAAAAATAAATGTTTTTATTATACGGTCAACAGACCGTTTACTTTGATTGATAATTTTAGACTAAATATTCTACCCTACGCTGGCCCTAAATAAAGCAGTGTCGCTGGCGTTGGTCGCGGCAGAGGCTTTAGTGTCGCTGGTGTTGGTCGCGGCAGAGGCTTCGTTGCTGAAGTCGCGGAAGTGGTGCAGACGCTAGGTCAGCGTTTTTGGCAAGTGCATTTTTAGTGGAGCGGATGCTCGTGTGGTGGGTATGGATCAGCAATTCGTCAAGTGCATTGCACTTCGAATGTGTTTGCGTAAGCGGGGTATTCTGATGAATTTATGTTTTATTAACTCTTCCCTCTTTATTTGACGTTTGTCCCCAAGCGTTAGAAGTAAGGCAGGTCGTTAAAGCGAGGTACTCGTATGACGGTTGATGCGCTATTCGCTGATGTTGCATTGTTCTGCTTAAGTTCGGGGGGTGCGACCTGTAGTATGACCCTCTCTCGCTTTCTTCTGTTTTGGAAACAAGCACCCGTGATCAGCAGTGAAATGCCGAATAAGATTATGATAGTGCTTCTAATGAAGATTTTGTCAACCTTAAGCTTATGCAATAGCTTGATGTTGCCGACATGCAGACTCTCCAATCTTTCCAGAGAAACTATTTTGATTCTCTCTGTCTCTTCAGGGGTTAATTGTATGATGGGTGCGTTTGGCCTCGTCAATGTCACTTCGGTGTTGCCAAATTCCATATCGTCTATCTTTAGAGTCTCGTTGAAGAATTTTACCACATAGGAGCCCACCAAATGCTTCATTTCATTCATTTTGCCATTGAAGTTGTTGAGCATTAATATTCCATCGTCGACCTCTTCGATCGTCTTGATATGATCTGCATTACCAAATCCACACTGCGACTGTTCTCCTACTAAAAGCCTAGGCAAACATAATGTCTTACTTAGGTCTACGATTTCGTTCTTGTTACAAATGTTAATATTATTAAAAGTTTTACAATTTTTTATTATTCCAAACATTTCGTAATTTTTTATTAATAACTCTTTGAATTTAACATTGATGATTGTATTATTCTTTACGATTGGCTTGATTAAAATGTTTTCGTATTCTTTATTCTATAAAAGTGTCGTTCTATTATGTAAGACTGAAACGTCTGAAAAACCTAGCATTTCCTCTATGGATAACGACGTTAGATTTCCATTTTCAAAAATTTTGTTTACTTCCTGAACTTCATTTTCTCCTAATAGAAATGTATTTATTACGTTAATTTTTGCCCATTGAATGGCATATTTTATATTTATTATTTCTTCTTTGATGAGCCTAACTTGGTTTTGAAGATTAAGTGTTATCTCTTCCGTAAAGTGATCATTTTTCCTAATAAAATTAGTTATGGAATTAGTGACACTAGACAATTTATTAAGTCTGACCTTAAATTGGTTATTGATTAGTACTTGTTTATTATTGTTGTCTATTATTTCGTTAACGTTGTTTTCTAAGGATGTAAAGTCGTCATGATCTGGGGTACCTGCCACTTATTTTCATGCGGTTCCCAGTAAATTAATGGCTCTAACGGGTCTATTGTTATGGAAGAGGGAGTTAATGGTGTAGAAAGTGGAGAAAGTTTGGTTCATTTCGTGGTTCAGGATGTGGTAATTGTCCGTAGTTTTTAGGTTATTTTCTATGTGTCCAGATAGTTTATTTAGTGTGTCTTCGATATGCTTCAAATCGATGACATGTATTAGTCTGGTTGTTGAATTTCTTATTTTACCTATTCCCTTATGAATCGTCGCTGTTTGTACGTCCGTATAGTTCGTAATTTCCATGGTTGCGTCTGCTCCGGTCAGTGTCCCAAGAGTCAGTATTCTGCAAAAAGTGTTAATCATTCTTTAGGTTAATTTTATGTACTGTCCTGCCTGTCTCTGTTACTATAGTGGTTTCTTTGTTTTCTTTAACTATTTCCCTTTTGAATTTGGGTGATAGCTTTGAACCTAATCTGGCATTAATTCTAACATAAACTTCATCGCCTGTCTTGTACGTTTTAATGGGTTTTCGTTTATTGTTGTGGTATTGTAGGTCTTGGTTTTGTTTTTGTCTTAATTTGTCTATATTGTCCTGCCTAGTTTTTTCGAAATCTTCGGGACTGACTGTCGATACTCTCCCAAAGAAAACCTCGAGCGGTTTTTTCCCTGTGACCGAATGGATCGAGTAATTATACTCGTACACAGCTCTATCCAACAATTCTTCGAAATTCCTATGAACTCCATCCTTCTTAATACACCTCATTATTTCTGAGAGTGTAGAATGGAATCTCTCGATTTGTCCATTGACTGTGCTCTTATAGGGTGGTACTCGAAAAACTTCAATGTTAAGTTGGTCTTTGATCATAAAAATTATTGAGACTGAATTGAGGGCCTTTTCGTTGTCCATTACGATGTATTTGGGAACGCCGAAATAAAAGACAAGGTCTCTTAATGGGAGTCGAATGTCTTCCACCGCTTTAGATTTAATTATTCGTGCTTGAGCCAGTTTGGAAAATTTGTCAATCGCAGTCAACACTAGCATCTTCTCAGTCGAGTAGATGTCGATATGGATAATATGACCTGGGTAATTCGGAAGCGGTGTCCGTTTTAATTCCGGGTTTGGGGGATGTCTGTCGTATTTCCCTTCTTTGCAAATCCTGCATTGCCCAACTATCGTGTCCATCTTCCTCTTCATTTTCGGAAAATAAAATCTTTCGGATAGTTGAAGCTTATTTTCATAAGAACTCCTATGAGCTCTATTATGAACCTTCAAGATTTCCTCAACTTGGTCGGCCTCGTTTGCCAAATCTGTTACCTTAGATTGGGTGAATCGAATTCTGTACCTCTTGAAGTGGACTGGGTATATTTCTTGAATTTTACCCATTATTGGTTCTGAGGTTTGTATGCCATTAATGACAGATGGGTTGAGGTATGTCTTGAGAAGTTTTATTAATTCGTCTTTGTGATATTGTTCCCTGTGAATCTCGTGTCTATGGTAAGTAGGGAAGGGGATACTAAACTTGTAGTGGTCGGTCTTTGAAGTAAAGATGGTGGTCGGTATAGATCTTGACCTTAGCTCTACCATAAAGATAGTTCCTAAGAGTCTTCAATCCCCATACTATGGCCAGCATTTCTTTCTCGTTGGCAGCATAGTTTTCCTCCGCTCTTGTCAATGTCCTGGACAAGAAGGATATGGGCTTATCATCCTGCGAGAGCACTGCTCCCAAAGCGTAGTTGGAAGCATCGGTTGTTAATTGAAATACTTTCTTAAAGTCAGGATAGCTAACTATGACCTCTTTTGAGATCAAGGCACTTTTTAGTTTTCTGAAAGCTTGTAAAGCTTCTTCATCAAGTTCTATTGTCTTAGCCTTGGATTGATTTTTGGACACACGTCCAACTTCCCCTCTTAAAAGAGAAGTCAGGGGCTTAGCGAGTCTAGCGTAGTCCCTTATGAACCGCCTGTAATACCCTGATAATCCAAGGAAAGATCTTAATTCTTTCAAGGTTTTTGGGTTTGGAAATTCGGCAATTGCTGTGACTTTAGCTGGATTGGCTTCAATCCCTTTATCAGAGATTATAAATCCGAGGAATTCTACCCTGGTCTTGAAAAACTCGCACTTGTCCAGCTGACATTTCATGTTAGCATCTTTAAGAGTTTTAAAAATTATCTCCAAGTTTTGTGAATGTGATTTCTCATCTTTGCTGAAAACCACAATATCATCTATATAGATATAACATATTTTCCCTATGTGGTCTCTAAGAACATCGTCCAGAGCACGTTGGAAAATAGATGGAGCATTTTTGAGCCCAAAGGGGAGTCGTGTAAACTCGTATTTGCCATTATTGACAGAAAAGGCTGTCTTCTCGATATCGCACGCTCTCAGTGGTATTTGGTGAAAACCACTTTTGAGATCAAGTACGGAAAACAGCTTATTATTTCCAAGTTGCGAGAGTACCTCATTGATTTCAGGTATGGGATATTTATCTACGATAGTTACTTTATTGAACTTGCGGCAGTCTATAACCATCCTATATTTTTTTCTCCTGATGCATCAGTTTTTTTGGGGACAATCCACACTGGTGAATTGTAAGGTGACCTTGTGGGTCGAATGATGCCATCATTGAGAAGTTCCTTCACTTGTTTGTCTACCTCATCTTTGAGAGACATAGGGTATTGATAAAATTTAGAATAGACGGGTTCGTCCGATTTTGTCCGGATGTCCGCTTTGACGTTAGTTACAAACGTTAATTTTTCGTTTGGCCTGGCAAAAAGTTGTGGGTATTTATTTGTCAATCTATTCAATTCTTTGATTTGTGGTGGAGTCATATGGTCG